GCCGATAAGATTGATCCGGCTAATAAGAGGCCGGGTGCGCCGGCCGCCGCCCGGTCCTCGCTCCCTATTTGCTCTGTGTGTCGGTCCGGCCGGCTTCCTGCCGAGACAGACGGCATCGGAAAAGGGTGCATCGCTGTCATTGGTCAGTAACTCCGCTGTCTCTGAGGCACTACCGGCGCCACACCGTAGCACAGCAGCAGCCATGAGCAGTGAGCATCGTTAAAGGAACAGCAGCTACCCTGCAGGCACCGCCGCCGCAGCCTCTGTCCTGTCTGGGTGGCAGTGGTGGCTTCGCTAGGTCTCCACAGACCAGCGGCAGACCCGATGAGACCCTCCTCAGACCGCCGACCTGTCTGGCTATACCAGTCCCGCGGCCTGCGCGTCGACCCGGTCCGACCATTGCCGCTCACGGGTCGGTCGAACGCGCACCGCCGCCCCGCCGCCGGCGCCGCGCCCGCCGCAATGTAGTTACGCTGCCAGGCAGCTAATTCGGTTTGCTGCCCCGGCCTTCCACCAATCTTGTCGACCCAGCCGGTCCGAATCACCCACTAGAACGGTAGAATAAATTCCGTGATGAGACTAATGTGATGATTTATCAGCGCCCCGGCCTGTCAGCGGCCGTCCTGTTATTTCAGAGTCCACTGCAGCAGTGGCCAGGGTCAGGCTGAAATTATTCAAATTATTAAGGTGGCTGAGCGCTGTACGACATTATTATATGAGAATGACCTCATCTACGATGATAACTTGGACACAGTTTTTCGCTCACTTCTCCCGATAGCGGGCTTATTTCCGCTAACCATTAGCTAGATCACCCTCTCTCTACAGCGCCGACATATCTTGGAATGCGCTACCAAGAATATTGACCGAGTTTGCAGCGAGGCGCACTCAATTGGATGCTTTTAGACACCACCCATACCTATTCACTTTAATTTTTACTGTGTTTTGTTCAATTTGTACCGTGCATGCCTTACTTTAGAAATCATAGATTGTTTGCATCAACGTGATCCATGTAACAGTTTTCTGGCATTCCTGCTAAACACCGAGACATTTTGACAAGATTTTTCTAACAAACCTGGGACACGCATTGTATTTCTCGATTTAAGCATTGCTCACGATACAAAACAGATGTCTGATATTCATGCAAACAGCATGAGTTAATGAAGTACAAATATTTTTTGAGTGGGATACACTGGATTCGATTGTTCGTGATAAGCTTCATCGAACGGCCGAGAGGCTCGCTGGAATGCCCAGGTGCATGTCTGAGGTCTTTGTATGTACTCGTATGTACCCCACGGCCTCGGACGACTCAGGGACGTCCCCTGCGTCCTCAGAACGAGCAAGATCCGGAACGGAGCTGTCACCGATCCCCAGTCGCATCGCCGAGTCAGCGCCTATACGTCTCTGATTGGAAAACATAATAGAAAACAGGGATCGGTGCACCCAATAATTGCGCTCTCCTTATTTGGTCGTCGCACAGCAGCGGTAGATATTGGCTGGCTGGCTCCCTTACTCCAATAAAAACACCGTGGCATCTTCTTATCACCTGGGACCAGGCAACAAATATTCGAGTAGGTATACGGAATACGGAATGATTGCGTACTTCATCACAGCAATAAATGGTATGTTGTTGGTAAATAAGATTACAAATAAGTTATTCGATATTTCAATCTTGTTCAATGTTCATGTGACATGTGAGAGCATTTTTATCAGCAAACAAAAAGGAAACCTGTTTGCTTGGGAGGAAGAATATGGTCTAGAGGAAGTTGTTATTTAATCAAATACGGACAGACAATCTTGACATCAAGTCCCTAGCTGCTGCTAGATAAGCGTTTTTTCACTAAGTTATAAAGCGATATGGGACGGTGTGTCCGGCAGTTTAATATAGACGGCAAAGGAACGGCGGATCTGGTGGATGTAGGTATGTGTACAGACGTTGGATCCGTTGGGTGTAGTAATGGCGCAGATCCGGTGCGTGCTCGAACAGCGGGACGGTTCGAACGATATCGGAGACAGCTGCGGTCACTCCACTGCAGCCCCGGCAGCTGCCCGACTGACAGAATCATTGACAGCTCCGGCAGTGGTCCGACTGACAGCCGGCGTTCCTCGGCTGTCGGCGCTGACCGACACGGTCCACACGGTGCACCTGCCGGGCAGACTCCCGCGGGTCGCAGCTGGGCCCGGGGCAGCACCCCGCCGGGGGCAGAGCCACACGGCGCACCTGCCGAAGGAAACCCAGGCTCCAGCTGAGCTAGGTCAGGAGCCCACCGAGGGCCGCTGGACTCCCCTGTGCGAGTCAATCAAACCCGCCTCCCAGTTGAGAGAACATGAACGGAAGGTAGCGTACTCACATACGAGTACTTTCCAGTAAGGCATAGTTAGATAGAGTACTTACACCCAAACTAACACCATTTATGTTCGGTGGCTGTTCGTCGTTCCACTGGCACCGGCAGGGGAATCACGCCCGCCGGCTCAGGTCAACAATTTCGTAAAAAGCCTAACATTTGCACCATAACAGATTCGCTACTCGCCAGGATATATGTAAATCATTGTCTTGTTTCGCATATCGAATGTAGAATGCGTAATGCGCATCACCTTTATTCCCCACTCCATTACCTCTATCAGACTCTTTGAGGTCATGAAGCTTGACTGTCGCTGGTGCAGCAGCCGTCACTTCCTGCTTGATTGAGACCTTTTTCAGAATGATGACCAATTACGGTTAGTTTCGGTCATCGGACCACGGCAAATGTCGGTTTAATATCGTATTCCCGAGTTAGAATGACACATGTGGTCTAATGGAGCCTGCACATGAGGTCGGCTAGTGCCACTGTCATATCCGCTATCAGCAGTAACGGCTGAAATGTTCGCCCGGTGATGGACCCATTTCCGAGGGGCCCGGCTCATCACTGACCCCGCCGCTAGTCTTTGTCCTTATCTCTTCTCTCCCTTCCTCCCTCTCTCTCTCTCTCTCTCTCTCTCTCTCTCTCTCTCTCTCTCTCTCTCTCTCTCTCTCTCTCTCTCTCTCTCTCTCTCTCTCTCTCTCTCTCTCTCTCTCTCTCTCTCTCTCTCTCCCCTCGTTCTGTCGATCTATCTCATCCCGATCTGGCTCCGGTTGCCTGGCCGCGGGGCCGGCGGGGCGGGGCGGGGCGGTGTGGCGGCTATATGGTCGGCCGATGGAGGACTGCGCTCGTCCGCCATCTGAGCAATGGTCAGCCCGTGCCGCGGCCGACTGGGCCGTGACTCGTCGCGCTGTCGATCGGCCCTCCTCCCCTGTGGCCGCCCCCCCCCCCCCTCCCCCGCCGCTGGCCCGACCGGCGCGGCGGCCGGTGGGCCCACCGCGTCCCCCGGCGGAGGACAGAGGACTGCTCCTGTCTCCATGGACGGTGTCCGCTGGAACCCACTGCGGAGTGTCTCTGGGTACTGTGTGTTACAAGCTTACATCGCTAGACAGGCTGTCCCTTACCGCCATGAATAAGATTTTCTCGAGATCCACCATTCCGCACAGCCGCACCACTCATCTCCGCTCTGAAATCAGTACACGTCCACCCATGAACTTCCGAGGCCGGAGCTCTCCCCATTCACATGTCCCTTTCATCTCTACCGTGTCCTCGGAATCACGCCTCGGTCCCAGCCCTCGATCACACACTCTGCTCCCTTCATCTTGTCCTTTTTTATTCTCTTCGCCCAATCCCCATCTATCACTCAGTCCCGGTTTCGCCGCTTCTTTCCGTTTGTTTTTTGTCATCCCACATTTCTCTCTCTCTCTCTCTCTCTCTCTCTCTCTCTCTCTCTCTCTCTCTCTCTCTCTCTCTCTCTCTCTCTCTCTCTCTCTCTCTCTCTCTCTCTCTCTCTCTCTCTCTCTCCCCCTCTATCTCTCCCTCTCTCTCCCTCTCTCTCTCTCTCTCTCTCTCTCTCTCTCTCTCTCTCTCTCTCTCTCTCTCTCTCCCTCTCTCGGTTGATCGGAGAGAGATGGGTCGTTGTCACGTGACACCGTCCGTCTTTGTCGAGCCGCTGATGTGCCGACCGGCCGTCCACTCAGAGTGGTGAGCAGACCCCGGGATAGATAGCGGCCCTCGCAGAGGCTAGAGCAGACCTCTCGAGCGGGGCAGACCGGACAGCTCATGCTGTGCTGACGTCTCTTACGGAGGCAGTGATCCTCCTCAGGGCTGTGTGGGTTTGGTGGAGAGTTGTTAGAACAGCTGTGCTTGCGTTTGTTACGGGTTCGAGATATTAAAATTTTAGCCACTCAGAAGAGATATTCTTGAGAAGTACTTAGGTACAGCATTTATATTGTTTTCGTCTCCAATAGGTATCATAGCAACCTGGCCAATGATTTCTACCTCGTCTGCCTCGTATCAACCTGTTCCTGCCCTCCCCTGTTGTGACGAACCCTCCCCTAACCATGAGCACGGATAGAGTCTCAATGCGATGGGCTCCGCCTCATGTTCATGAATCATGATCTGGGAGAGGTAGAGTCCGGCTGAGGTCGGTAATACCTTCCATGTCAATGTCTTATACATTAGTCAGGTGCATGCTCAATGTGCACGTACTCGTAAAGCGACTAAAAATATGCTCGTACTTTATATGCTATATGGAGCTATTTAAATACGCTCGTTTGAAAGAAAATTGCATAGTAGGTATGCATAAAAAAGTAAATTGGTCAATATCTATGCCAGATCACAGTTCAGCACACCAGAAGTCATCAAAGGTCAAATTTCGCCTACTTCAAAACTTTTGATGCATCGAAACATAAATAGAGGCGATATTTAGCCCTGACTTCTGGTAAACTGACCTTTGGCATTACACTCTCTTCATTGTATTTTTTTACGCATGCCATGTGATTTTCTTTCGAACGATCATACGAGGTGTGTCACTACCTGGCCCAGGAGCCAAGTTAATTAAAACGGGGGCATTAAGATAACCCTGGCCCGGCGCGGTTAACCTTCTGTGTGATGTCGTCAAAACGTTTCGCTGACATTTAATTTACATCTCTTTTGTTTCAGAATTTGAAGAGTCAAATTATGACAACCAATTTGTGGGTGAAACATGTAAGTATAGGTATGTCCGCCTGGTTATCGATCTCCCGATCTATTAGGTATAAATCGATTATCTGTTGTTATCGATCCGTACTATGACGATCCATCCCGTCATCTATGAGGAGGTATGATTTTATTTTCATATCGCACGTGCACATGGCACATGGATCTGAAAGTTGACCTGAGGTTGACAAGAATCCAAAAATCCTATTTTGGGAGCGATTAGCCAACAACCAACTGTGCTGTTGTCAAGAGACCCCATGGAATCACAAAAACATATTTTTTGGCATATCTAGCTAGGGTACATGAGCGTGACATGATTATGTAGAGTCAAAATATGTTATTCTTTGTCTCCAAAGATTAGATGACGCAGTTTATAGCTTTACCGTTTTTGATTTATCCGGTGCGGTCCAAACGTCCGGTCCAAACGTGTTCTTGGTTTATCGGCAGATTCCAAGAAATCCTTAATCCGATGAGCGTCTTTTTGATAGGCATTAATAAAGACAGACCCTAGACTCCATTTTGTTTTGAGGTTCATTATCCACTGAGATCCAACAATCCCGCGCCCCGCTGGGGGGGCTATTTATAGCCCCCTCCCGTTTTTCTGCAATAACTTCCAAACCGCGTGACGGATCAACGCCAAACTTTCAGTACCTTCGGCTGCATCAATTTGACACCTTGTGTCAAAATTTGAACTTCGTAGCTACCATAGGTCGGCCGGAAATGACGTCAGAGTGACGTCATGTTCGTCCGATTTCGACGCAAAACATTGAACCACGGCAATCGCTCCCAAGAGCTCAGTTTTTAAGCTAGATCCAATTTCTTTGCATGAAAGGACTCAGAATTGACCGCGCTATCAAACTGCTATCTCGGATTTTCAAAATTTTAAAAATTTCGAAAATTTTATATAATAATATTCAAAATTTATATTTTTATATTTTTTCAAAAAGTTTTGACTTTTCGAAAAAAAAAAACGGAATATATGTGACAGAACGCATGATTATGACTACCTCTAGCAAGTTTTAGCTAAATATCTTCAAAAATGGCCAAGTTATACGCATTATTGCAAAAAATTCACAATTATTAATTTTTTCAAATCAATTTTCAGTACGTATTTGACATCGTACACCAATACAAAGGGCACCATCGTGTTCCTGAGCTCAAATTACATCCAATTGACACCTTTTTTGTTGAAAAAAAATTAACTTCAAAATTTGACCTTTTTTGACCTGAAAGTGACCTGACCTAAGCTGAATTCGACTCAAAATGACCTCGAATGACACAGATGACATCAAATTCGAAATCTATGGCCTAAATGGACCATAAAACATGTTTCACGTGACCGACGCATGATAAAGTATTTCCGTGACCTGTGATGACTTGACCCTGACCTGAAAATCAAAGTACAAGTTTGGTACCCTCAAGGTATCTAGAGCATCTGTTCACGAGTGTGTAAACCAAAAATGAGCCTGATCTGACTTGTAATACGGCGGCCAGAGCCCAAAATGTGAACAAGCCAAAATGCTAATAATTTTTACTTTGACCTGACCTGTGACGTCATCGGTGACCTCAAGGTCAATGAATTTAGGTTTCGTTCGACAGTTTTTCCGGGGCTATCAGACGCCGTTTGAATTTTGACGATCGGCCCAGTAGTTTCGGAGTTAGGAGGGGGGGCTATGAATAGCCCCCCCCCCCCAGTAGGGCGTGTTATACACAGACCCCAGTGGGGCGCGGGTTAAGTCCCTACATGTCTGGCTCATACGCAAGGTCACTGTCATCAAATGAAACGCCTTTGGTTTGGGATGGACTCACCATGCAGGCTGTCATGTGAGGTCCGAGGATGAAGACCTGTCGTGTGTGATCAATGACTTCCTAGTCGGCAGACGATGAATCATGGGACAAAACTTGCAATGCATTGTCAGTGGTCACTACAAGTTTCCCGATTATTTGTGATTTGTGTTTCTCAATGCCTTTCAAAAAGAGCGAGTTATGGCTGCTGATTAATTATGGTGGTAGTTCATTGCGAGGAAATGCTAGATCAAGTGTGTGTAAGTTGTGCGTCTACGGTTACATGTGGCGTCCCGGTACCACCTAGTGGTCGTATATTCATATTTAGCTTTTATATGAACGTTTACCTTCATAATCAAAGAACTTTGGGCATTCGCATAGCTTATAACCAACCCTCCCTTTGAATACAAACAAACGGTTACGTGTCTTCCGTCCATGTTAATGCCAGGTAAAACCTCGCATAAATATAAATATTCTAAAAGAAAACCTCGTCTGGCTCAAACTATTATGTCAAAAACGACCACTAGCTGAAATTGGATGGCAGATACCGCTCCGTTTTAGTGCCCACTAACTTGAAAACTGCTACCTAAAGCCACGCAGGCATATCAACAGATGCCAAAAAGTGTGCGTGTTCTCCGTTCGTACATACTTAGTTCGAATTGTAATTTGTCGTTCGCCTTTTTAATTTTTAGCGGATATTGTTGATACTTGATGCTTATGAAAGCGGTAGCTTAATATCAGTACACAGCTCCTGATATGCACGTTCTGGGCGCTCGTGTGATTCCTATCCTAATTGGACAGAAAAGTAAGATCAAGTAATGCGACGAATAAATCGGCATATCAACTTCATTGCATCTTCCCTTATCCCCGGCACTATTCTGATTACTGCAGACATACATGCACCATTGTGCTATACCTATACGTCATGGCTGGTGCCGTGGTGGCCGTAGGTCTTTATTTCTCAACTGTAGTTTATATAGGGTCTTGCTGTAGTCGACGTTCGTGTATGTACGTAGGGGAGACCGGGGCACAGCGGCCGCCCTAATGTTTGTTTCCATGCCGACGCTTCATTTCCAAATATGGGAAGATTCTTTCTATGTCAACATGATCCCTATTAAATTGCCTTTCATTTCAACTCGGTTTCATTTCTAAAGGCGTTCACATATAATTGGAAAAGCTTAGCACCTATGCATGACGGTCACTTTGTCCCAGTCCTCCGAGGCAAAGCGGCCACCGGCAATTTCTTTGCCCCTTCATGAGAAACAGGATAGTTCTCTCATGCACGACTAGTTATTGATGGCAATAAGGTTTAAGCGAGGATGGATGTTTATTTTGTTATCTTCCCATCCTGTAGCTAAACAATGCAAGGACATTCATGAAAACAGTGTATTGATTTTTTTTGTAACTCATGTAACCGAAAAGTGGCCGAAATAAACTCATGGCGATACATTTCAATATCAATAACGTTTGTTGTTCAGATGGAAGCAACTTATGGCCAATTGTGGGCTGGCCACGCTTCGCCCACTTTGCCCCGCGCCTACGGTCTGAAACAAAAATATTTCAGCTCAGCTATTAGTGGGGAAAAAATATTAGAATTGGTTGAAGACATGTACGGAAACCACGCTATTCATGATCAACAACGCATAAATAAAATTCCAGCGGTTATGGAATAAAATACAAAACATTAAAGAATCGTAAAAATAGTAGGACAGTCTGGGAAGAAATACTTTTCCGTATATCACAGATCCATGGCGACGGGCCGGAAACCTCGGTTTGGCTCTTTCGAACGAGAGCGAGGAGAGCCACACGTATAATTGGCAACCAATAAGTACGGAGTTGACACCAGTTGTGAATGGCTAAGATATGGGGTGGCCACTTTGCCCCGGGTGGCCGCTTTTCCCCGGTCTCCCCTACGCCGCTGAGCGCCGACGGATATGGCTGGATAGTTAGGCTGTGCCGCATCACACCAGTGTCATGCGGCGCAGCCTAGCATTCGCTCGGCGCTTCGGCGCATATCCCAGCCGCATGTGGATCCTTGTGGCTGGTAAACGTCCAGAACTCCAGTCCACACTGCACATCGCTGATTTCGATGGCTCGTTACACCAGGAGATTGGGCCGATTATTATCACAAATTGATCAGTGATCACGATAAACTAGGGAACCATGCGGCTCCATGCGCTGCAGGCGCACACAAGGGGCAAACTCCCGGCCTCACGGTGATGCGGACCTTGCGCCATCGGCCGTGCACCGTGCTCAGAGCACCCCTGGCGCCCGCAGGCCTGGTACGACTACAAGCTGACCTGGGGCCCCGACATGTACGGCGGGGTGGAGATGCTGCACGTTCCCTCCGACCACATCTGGCGGCCTGACATCGTCCTCTACAACAAGTGAGGCTGTTATCATTATGCCGCTGTATCTATAGATATATTGGACTAATGCTTCATCAGCTGCTGCATAATGAAGTCAACGGGCCTGTGCTTATGAAATGGGATACTTTATTTGCATGTTTATCACGTTTCTCATTGTCTCCTGTTATGTTCTTTTAATTATCAACTATGGATCATTCCTTGTGCCTACATTTTTTTTCAATTTGAAATACATCAATGTGAGGTTTGTGGTCCCGCGGGCTCTACGTTCAATCGTAAATATGTCAGTACGCACACGTACGGTTGGTGCACACTGCACGTACGTTCCAAAACGGCTCCTTTGTCCGGCCGCCAGCGCGGACGGCAACTTCGAGGTGACGCTGGCGACCAAGGCCACCCTCCACTACAACGGGCTCGTGGAGTGGGAGCCGCCGGCCATCTACAAGTCCTCGTGCGAGATCGACGTCGAGTACTTCCCGTTTGACGAGCAGACTTGCGTCATGAAGTTCGGCTCATGGACATACGATGGCTTTCAGGTAAGTTAGTGCCGCAGTAAAATGTGATGACCCGGCGCGGTGATGAAAGATGACTGCAAAACGTCCTTACCGAACATGCTGCGGCTTCCGAAGTAGCGATAGGTGAGGCACTTCAAGTTAGACACTTCAGCTCCCCGTCGCGCCAGAGCTGGCGACTGGGGATCAATCGCACAGCACATCACAGCACAGCACAGCACGGAGCACAGAAGGCTCAATCGGAGGCCAGTTCAGATTACATGACACACCTGTCCAGTATCTATAAACGTTATGTCATCTTTTCAAGCAAAGCATTTGTTGATAGAACATTTTTGTTACTTACTAATTTCTGCTAGCATTCAACATCGCCGACCGTTTTGCCTAGCGTGGCGCAGGGCCGAGCTGAAATAGCGAACCGACGGGCCCTTTTGTGGCTAGTGGCACCGGAAGTTTCTAAAACAGTGATACATGGGTTTGTTATCGCGCAATATTCGCATTTAACTACGCTGCGGCCAGGGCAATGCCGGCTTTATCAGACGATCGACAGCAAGTTAATGCGGAACGCTTTGTGGCGCCGTCATAATTCTTGGCTGGCGGCTTAGATATAAGTCAACGTAAGTCCGCGCGGGGTTATTCATTCGCTCAAATGTGATCATAAACTACGGTTACTGTGTTCTAGATACCATTGTGGTGTGATTTACTGCGGTACAGCTAGTTAATATGAGCGCTTTTCAGCGGATGGTCCCCGTGATTGTCTCCGAGCCACGCTTGTCGTTTGGCCTCATTATTTCAGCGTCAGGATTTTCACTAAGCGCTCACGCTACTACTACTTACCTACACTAGGCAAGATATATCACGATGCCAGACTTTGGCATGTCCATCATTGGTGTCCAGCATTGGTGTAAGGATCCATTGCATATACTTATTCATAGATCATGGCATTTTATTAAATACGTGCAGGAAATCACATTTGCACCAATATAACATAACGTAAGACGCTGCTCCGTGCACGAGTGATTGAAATATGCCGATCATTTTAGTCTTCTCGATTCAGCCCATGAACCGCTCATTCTTAGACGACTTCGGTGTACATATTATCAGAGATCCAAACAAAGCACATTTAGAGGCTGACGTCTCTGTTTTCATCCATTAACCATTAACTGTAGCCATCCGCGCGTGGGTTGCAGGTGGACCTGCGGCACTTTGACGAGGTGGAGGACTCGGACCTGGTGCCGCAGGGGGTTGACCTCTCCGAGTTCTACATGTCCGTCGAGTGGGACATCCTGGACGTGCCGGCCGTCAGGTGGGACTGCGATCAGACACTGAAGGACACTGCGTAGTATTCAGACACTGCGGCCTCGGCAGGGAGACCGCAGCGTCCTGTGGTGGATCTGTCAGGCCGTCACACTCTCTCTCTCTGACGTGAATATTAACCCTCGCCGGCACAGGGGGGGGGGGTTGATGCACCCCCCCCCCAAGGGTTTTCGCGAATAACTCGCGTAAAAAGCGGCCGATCGCCACGAAACTTACAGTACCCTCGCATTGATCAATTTTACACGTTCCCTAAAAATTTCATGACCCTGACCCCAATGACCTTTGACCTGTGACCTCTTTTCCGTGACCATGTTTGGCCGAAATCGCGATTCGGCGTATGTCGGCTCGCATTAGCCGCGCGTTTGCAAGCTTTTCGTGGTTTCAAACGTTCAAACATGTGATTTGATGTTGCTCCCATACATAAGGGTGGGTGTCAAGGTCACCCGAAGGTCAGGTCAGGTCATTGACCTTTGGTGACCTCGGGTGACCTCGGTTCACTTTTTCGAGTTTTACATGTTTCTAGGCTAGTTTTTGGAGCTGAATTCGAATTTAGCAACAATTTGAACATTTATGAAGCAGTTTTGGTACCTTCGTAACATGTCACGAAGCTGTCAGAGGCGGTTGACTCACTTGACACGTATTACGAATACCCGTCACAACCCCTACCGGTTGACCTGACCTGACCTGACCCGACCTGGTCTAAATGCTTAACATCATCTCTGATCAAAACTAACACGATATTCGTGATCAGCACCCCGGAAAACCACATAGCAGCCACACTTTACGACTTTCTAACAGGTCCCGATTTTCCCGGTTTTCGGGTCATTGACCTGACCTGGAAAGTCACCCGATGACCTAGGACCTTAAAATTGGTTATCACCGGCTTCCTCTCGTGACGGGCAACACGCTCGTTTTTTCCGCGAAGCTCTAGCTCGATCAGGGGCCAAACGCGAGGGGGGTCGTACCAACCCCCCCCCCCCCTTGTGCCGTCGAAGGACGCAAAATGGCCTGTGCCGGCGAGGGTTAATAGAAGACAGTTGTCTCATTACCCCTAAATACTGATCCAACCTTGCCGAGAGTAAACTGCTGTTGAAAACGAGACGACTTGGCATTCAAAGCTACCTTAACCCTATTCCTGGCGGGGGGGCCTCAGGAGCCCCCCCCCCCTGAGGTTTTTTGGTTATTTCTCCCAAACGCGTTGAGCTAGGAAGCTCAAATTTTCTGACTTTTCCTAAAAGGCTTCTACGCAACATGTCTGAAAATTTTGAGTTGATCTGACCTCAGGTCAGGTCACCAGAGGCGGTTTGGTGACCCTACCTCAGAAAAGTTTGCAATCACGCCAGAGCTAGAGTTTTTGACCGATCAATTTCTTCTCTTCAGACTTTAGTTAGGGTACCAGTATGTGCAATTTGTATATCTCGGAATTTTGATATCGGTGACCTAAGGTCAGGTCAGTCTCGCGACCTCCCCATTATAAGTCAATGGGGGAAAAATCAACTCCCTGTTTTTACCACTAAAACGGGTCGGAATGGCCCCATATACCATACATGACTTCATATACGATCAGCCTTCACTACCTTGAGGTCTGTTTTGCTGTTGGGCAGCTGTGAGGTCATGTGACGTCATCAAAGGTCACCAAAGGTTTTTGGCCAATAACTCCGTACAGGAACAAGATACAGACGCGTGGATGGTCTCATTGTGTTCATCTCGTCAAGACGCATCGAATGATATACATGATGACCTCGAGGTCACGTGACCTGAGGTCAACCTTTGACCTTGACCTTTCGAGGTCAACATATATATCATTCGATGCGGATTGACGAGAGGATCACGATGATGCCCTTAGTTTGTTCCTATCTTGACTAATTCGAAAGTTATTCGAGAAAAACTCTCTCCATATCTAGCGCCGCCATTTTGACTTTTTCGACCCCTGTGACGTCATCTTTGACCTGACCTGAAAATGACCTTAGTAAAAATTGTAGATCTTGACCGTGCGTATCCGATGCCGTTTACCGTTTGTCGCTGTGATGTGTAGTTTTTGAGATCTGAAGGGGGGGCCGAATCGGCCCCCCCCCCCCCGCCAGTTTATTGTCCCGGCGGAGCCCGCCAGGAATAGGGTTAAGTCCGCATAGTCTGTGCTACATAGCACTGAACTCAGTCATCAGTGAAGTGTACTGTCATAGGAACAACGCGATCCGTTTTATCTCGCAGAAAAAAAAAACGCACGCACACATCTGGGGGCAGAAGTGGGTATAGAGTTTGCCGGTCGATCTTTTATCTTGGCCCTTGCAGCCGTGCTCCTTACATGCTGCACTCGTTTACCGGCCGATTGGGTCCGCCGGTCAATGGAACAAACACTCAGACGATTCCAATGGCCCGCTCGTCAGTCTACAGCTGGATCCGACGATCCACTGATCCGACAATCCACCGGCCCAACCGGTCCATTGATTCACCAATCAGCCATATCGAACAATCCATTGATTCACTAGTCAGCCGTATCCACCGATCCACCGGTTTATGTACTGACCACTCTTACAGCCGGATCTAACAGTCCACCGATCCAAAATCGATCGGTCCGCTAACCTACTGATCTAGTGATTTACGATTGCATTTATTAACGCGGTCCACTGGTGCCCAGTCGAATCCACCAATCTACCAAAGACGCATCCACCGATCCACCAAACCACTGACAGCCATAGGTACCTACTCACCAATCACGCAGACGGTCTGATCGCTCACCAAAGACATATCCGGCGGTCGTCCGTTCCCATCCCTGCTGCCCGACCACTCACCGGTATTGTGTGTTCTGCCGTTATCAGTAATAAGAAAACAGCGGGACGGTCGGAGCAATGATGGGTCAGGTAGTAACAAAACACTGAGTTGTGATGTCTGAACGAGAAGAAGATATGTTTCACTGCGATGGCTAGAATGGTAACCCACTGTTAACATCCGAACATAGATCATGTATTTTTTCATGCGCATGCGTTTGATTTTTACCGTGGTGTAAGCTTGACCACTGACAGCAACAGGTCTGCCGTCATTTTATATGTAAAGTGATCTAGCCTGCATACCTAGTATGTGACATTAGTCCAGGGTAACCTTTGTTTCAGACATGAGAAGTTTTACACGTGCTGCGATGAGCCGTACCTGGATATCACATTCAACATTACAATACGGAGGAAGACGCTGTTCTACACGGTCAACCTCATCATTCCCTGCATGGGCATCTCGTTCCTCACGGTGCTGACATTTTATCTGCCCTCGGATAGCGGGGAAAAGGTTCGTTACGAACGTAAAGAAAGTTTTCAATTCCTAAGCAGTAAGCACTCATCGAACCGATGAGCTGTCACCTTTTCTAAATACATTTATTCATCTTAACTTTACAAAGGTTTTACCTTACAAAACATCGTTTTCTCAGGTCCCTACCCCATTAAGTACATCAAGAACACACATATACAATGATACACAGTTCAATGTTTTCAATGTGCCTTATACGCGTTGATTTAGTCATTGTTCTTGTTTTCACGCATACCATCTGAAGTGTTGAAAATGCTGATATTCTGTCACCGCTCATCGCCAGATGACGTTGTCCATTTCCATCCTCGCAAGTCTGCACTGATGTGACTGATGACAAGTGACGTCATCGCTCGGTACCCCCAGGTGACGTTGTCCATTTCCATCCTCATCAGTCTGCACGTGTTCTTCCTGCTGGTCGTGGAGATCATCCCGCCGACGTCACTGGTCGTCCCGCTGCTCGGAAAATACCTCATATTTGCCATGATACTCGTCTCCATAAGGTGAGAAGCGACCTTTTTTACCTTTGTGCCAGCCGGGCAGTGGTGGGCAGTTGCAGTGGTTGCAGGCACTGGGCAAGGATCGGTGAGCGGAATAAGTCTCGAACTTTTCTTTGGACGCTTATTCACAAAAATGCGCGGAATTTTCAACGTGACCGGTGTTACAACGTACAACGTAACGACATGCAATATCTATAGGTATTTGGTGTGGCTGTTGCCTTACAAAACATTTCGGAATGCAGTCGCCAGTCAAAACATTCGTCTCCGGGTCTTCTCTTTGAGCAGACCTCATCGTCTGTCCCAAACTCCGAGCCGTTGGCGCGCTGCAAATCCTGCGATGTGTCTGTGTTCGGCGGCCTCTGATCCGTCCCGTAGTATCGGGGTGTGGCGGTAATCCCCGCCCATCTCCGCGCCCCGCCGCGGTCTGCCGGGGTCGTCCGGCGGGCCATGACTGTCAGCGGTGCTGATGGGCAGCGCTGCCGTAAACGCCACCCTACGCCCGGCTACGGCGAGGGCGGCCGCCGCGGGCGGCGAGCCGGCTCCCAGTGGTATCACGGCGGCGTCACGGCGGTCACTGCTGCAGCTGCCGGTTACGGCCCCGGAGTATATCGTAAATAACAGCCGGCGGTCCTATATACACCGGCTTCGTCTGTCGTCGGTTTATGTGACCCAGACCTTCTTACGTTTTAATAGAGCTAACGGAAGAAAAACGGCATTGAGGGTCAGCATAAAAAGTGTCGAAGCACAGATTAGTTTAATGATGATTATGTGTGAAACTGTGAATAAAAAAGTGTCTGTGTGATTATGCTTCATAAGTTGCGATCATGCACGGAATATGAACCACTTTTGGACGTTTTTGTTTTTGTAAAGGTACCCAAATGAAAATGTCTTCAGATGGAAACAACAAAGGTACAATGCAGTTAAATTTTATAATGCACTCTGTTGGCAGCATTAGCACTAGGTGCATTGCCCCTGGCATTGCCTTTGCCATTGCCCCCCATGTGCTCCCAGTGTCGCTCACCTGTCTCCCGTTCCCTGCCTGCAGCATTATGGTGACAGTGATGGTGCTGAACGTCCACTGGCGGTCGCCGCAGACGCACCGGATGGCGCCCTGGGCCCGGCGGCTCTTCATCCAGGTGCTGCCCCGCCTGCTGGTGATGCGCCGACCGCTCCAGCCGCGCCGCAGGTCAGACACATGCGGCGCAGGTGCGGCGTCAGATGCCGCAGGTCAGACACATGCGGCGCAGGAGCGGCGTCAGATACCGCAGGTCAGACACAGACGGCGTCAGATGCCGCAGGTCAGACACAGACGGCGCAGGTGCGGCGCCAGATGCCGCAGGTCAGACACATGCGGCGCAGGAGCGGCGTCAGATACCGCAGGTCAGACACAGACGGCGTCAGATGCCGCAGGTCAGACACAGACGGCGCAGGTGCGGCGCCAGATGCCGCAGGTCAGACACATGCGGCGCAGGAGCGGCGTCAGATACCGCAGGTCAGACACAGACGGCGTCAGATACCGCAGGTCAGACACAGACGGCGCAGGAGCGGCGTCAGATGCCGCAGGTCAGACACATACGGCGCGGGTCAGACACATGCGGCGCAGGAGCGGCGTCAGATACCGCAGGTCAGACGCGAACGGCGCAGGAACGCGCTGCTATCACAGGGAACAGCTCTGGAATGTGCTCCAGGGATGGTGCTGCTCGATCATTGGACCTCAGTTGCTTACCTATGAGTGGATTTATGCATTATTTGATTAGGTCAGCCTATACGTTTCCCAGACTCAAAAGATCGGTCGCTAGCTTGTCTTATCCGGACTCTGGCACGAAACCGAAAGTCCACTGGTTTCAAGAAAGACAGATCACATTGGAACATTTTACTGTTCGTGCAGAACCCTCTTTGTGCATGTTGGCGCCTAGTTGGAAAATGTTACCTATTCCAAAAAAAAATCAGTTATTTGAGAGACTATAAAAGCATATTTGCTTTCATTAAAATTAAGACTATAAAAGCATATTTGCTTTAATTCAGTCATCTCTTCTTCTGAAATAAAGCTAAAAATGATCATTGAAGTGCATACCTACTTATTGATACTTAATGCCATACTCGTATATAAAGCATGTCTTTAAAAGTAATACGAATAAAGTCATACGGCGGTGAAAGAAAAACTAGCTCGGTAGCAATAAATATTCACTGATGAAATCGTACGGCAGCTCTTGCAGAAGCTTATGCTTCGTTAGCTGTACCGGTAAACTAAACGAGAAGTGTTGACAGGCAGCTAAATGAGCTCATGGTGCCTGCTTCCGGTGTCTCGGGGGCGCGGCGGGGCCGGGGGCCGCTGATGATCGGCGGGGCGCTGGGCGGCGCGCGGGGCGCGTTTCATTCTGGTCGGCTGTGTCGGACAGTGCGATCGATCACTGAAATCGGCGCCGAGCCGAACACGGCTCGCCGGGCGCCACTTTTTACGACTGCTTCATCTTGATTCGGGTGGCCAAAGACCGGAGAGACTGCAGATGAAACCCAGAAACTGACGTGACGCCGCCGGCCGGGCGCTAAAGGAACCGACCGTCAAAGCAATTAGCGAATTGCTGTCTGATTTCAACGAATTTCAAAATGTGCCTGTCGATAGGTTTCGTCCCCTAGATATCTTATACCCTTAATTGTCACAACTCTTTTTAATCACTATTTAGATAAGTTCCTTCCCTGTGCGATGCATAACGTCATGACGAGCACGCCAGGTATGTGGCTCAAACGTTTTCGATCACCAAAATGGCTGTATGGTGACCTTTGTGAAAGCGGTAAAAATGCTGTTGTTAAAATGGAAAGGCGAATTTGGGCAAGCCATCGACAAGCATTTTGGGGGTTTATCAGGTCAGACAGAAATTGCATATCGGAAATAAAACAATGGGTAGCTAATAGGCGCTGATGATGGTACATCTTCGTGCGCGAGCATGTGATTAGAGCAGAAAGATATGTTTTTCCATCTACCTTAGATATTTTAGGCTGTGACACCTTAACCCTATTAATGGCAGGGGGGGGGTTGTTTTTATCCACCCCTCAGGTTTTTCGGGAATATCTCCGAAACCGCTGAAGCTACGATGCTGAAATTTTCTGACTTTTCCTAAAACTAAATTGGGCTTATTCCCTGAAAATTTCAAGTTCATAACTTTACCAGGGGCGGCTCCAGAGCACTGGGAATTGGGGGGTCCTATTCGTGAAGCGAGTCATTTGGGCGAAGATCACGATGCTGCACCAGTTTTACGAACAGTGAATGAAAGATATCATGTGATAACACTGATAACATATACAAAGTTATTGTGCATCCTCTTTTGACACGTTTTTGCTATAATAGGCGAATCCAGGCGTCCAAAAAAGGGGGTTATGTTTTACCTCCCAACATAGGTGCCCTGACACCGCCTATGCATGACCAATACAATTGTAGTCGTTCTCTCATAAGAAAATTGTAACATAACAAGACCATTACCACCCTTTTTAGAAACAGTACTAACAAAAACCTTATTTACTATACTTTTTGTGTACCCCCAATCTCAATGATCTGTATCCGCCTATGATTTTTGAAAATGCATATTTTTAGGATCCATGTGAATTCCTGGTTCATTCTCTATCGATCGGCAAAAGTTGCGTTAGGATTGGTTCAGAAACCTGGCCGTGATAAACATTCTAAAATGTATCTGCAATTTGCCCGTTTTTACCCCCCTCTACCCCCCCTGTTGACATTTTTTAATTTTAATTTTTTAGAAATGTAGATCACGTTGAGCGAAATCGAATGCCGTTTGAATTTTGAAAATCGGCCCGTTAGATCTCGAGATATCAAGGGGGGGGGGTCGATGCCCTTAATTATTCCCAACAGCATAATAAAAAAGCCACTGATGCAGTAAAAAACATCATGAATCGTAGTGATTTGATCGACATTTACAGAGAAATTAAGGGCGAAAGGCAGAAGTTTAGGTACTTGGAGAGTAGGCAATCCTGTTAGAAAGTGTGCAAGATTAGACTACTTTCTTACGTCAGAATCCCTCATGCCAATGGTAACAGATGTTGATATCATTCCAGGTTATCGAAGCGACCATTCTATAATTACAATGGAACTGAACCTGACAGAGCAAAAGAGGGGGAAAGGGTTCTATAAAATGAACACATCTTTGCTAATGGATCGAGAATATGTACATGTATATGTACATATTCAATATTCAATATGTACATGAATATGTATATGTATGAAAAGACAATAAGGGACGCGATTTTAATTTATGCTCTTCCAGTTTATTCAGTTACTTTTGTCAGAGAAAAACCAACAGAAGTTGAGGTGATGATCAGCTGGAGTGCATCTTGGGAAGCTCTGATTCTGAACATGCGTACTGAAACGATTTCCTATTCAATTCATAGACGTAGGAAGTTAGTAGAAGAAGAGTTCAAAGTAATTAAGGAAATTCAAAGATTGGGAGATCATGAAGAAGGCGAGACGTCCGACGAAGTACAGTCAAGACTATCAGTCTGTAGGGAAAAATTAGAGGGCCTTAGGAAAATAAAAATGGAGGGTATTGTGACACGAAGCAGGGCTCGCTGGTACGAGGAAGGTGAGAAATCGACAGCATACTTCTTGGGTTTTTTTTTCATCACTCTTTATTACACAATTTCTTTACAACACAACTACCACATTTTCCAACGCTCATACATGATGCTCACTACATTAGCATGTTTGGTTACAGCACAGTACCATATTAATATCTCGTACTCTAATTTCCCTTTCATTCTTGTCATGGTCGTACATAAATTCAGCTTGTGTCAGAATTTTCATTTTTTTGTAACAAGTTCACAAACCTTGGCTTTTCTTTTCTAACCTTACAACTATATATGTACCATTTTCCTATCAAAATGAGTCGCTGGATCGCTGTTGCGGTTTCCCTAGGGCATTCGTACAAAGCTGGATCAAATCCCAATATGATTTCCTGAGGGTTCAATTCCAGCGTAATCTTCAATCGGTCACGTATC